ATACACATACACATACACACACACACACATACACAACATAACTGTGAACTCCTCCCCAAGACAGAATAATCAAATTTTACAGGGAATCTGCACTTAAGGAGGAATTTCTTCCACCACCAAAGCATGGAATACTAAACTCTTACCTTCTCTAACCATCCTAAGAAATTCCTGAGTGATATCCAACATTGGCCTGAATGAACTACTGGTATCTTCATGACTTTCAAAACCCAACAGTTCGACAATTAAGATACATTATTTTAAAATATGCATATGGAAATAAGACAGTGGCTAATTCCCTCCATAGTAGCACTAACTCATCCGAGATCCCCAGGCGACACTCTCTAGCACACTATCAAAACAACTTATTTTTAAAGTTGCACAGCAGAAGACATTCTGCAAATATATTCAGGAATTTTTATACTGCACACTAAAAGATCAGACTCAAGAAAGCAACAGCAAAACTACCTCAAAAATTGCCACCGCTCATGTCAGACGCATCTCCGAGTGCCTGAGATGGAGCATAGCAAGGGGTGTTAATCTCATCACATCACTTTACTTTAGTTACAGTTACTGGTACCTAATTAAGACAACAGGTTTTTGTAGCTTCAAGGTAGAGGACAAAAAAACGACAGCTTCACATTTTCAAATTCATAAAGGCACATTTATTTAATTCATTTTTATGTCACTGCAATAAAACACTGCAAATTTTATCTCAGTAATTTGAGACTAAAACTTCCCCTAGCACTTGGCTCCTCCCCTCCGGCTGACATACACCCATTCTCCTGTTACAGTAAATATACTTGAATCCCTTTAAACCTCAAATAAAGGGGCCAGGACAAAATCTTCAAGATTAACCTAATTTGTCCATCAACCTTGAAGTCCATCCCAAAATGGCTACTCACTGTGGGAAAAACAACAAAACAAAACAAGCACACACAACACCACCACCACCACCACCAAACCACTGCTGCCGAGCGCAGTTTCCACCATCAGCGATATTACTGAAGTAACTGCCCACAGTAAATACCAGCATCTGGATTCGCAGGACTGGGCAGAGCTCTGGCTTACGTACGTCCATTGCAGGACCCCTCCCCAGCGGTTCTAGAAATTCCACTGCAGTAAAAAACTAAAGTTTAAACAGAACATGGTCTGCATAGTCCCCATCAACCAACTCCCTGTTTTGCTGGAGTAAGGCACTGTTTTGATTATTACTTAGAATAAGATGGAAAGATTGAGTGATGTTTTAGAGTTCAGTTAAAACTCCCTCTTTACCTGTGCCTCTTTCATCCCGTGAACTGGTTCATCCTAAAAATCACTAAATTTTTGCTGAAAATATTTGAAATTTTTTTTTTAAGAAATCAGAAAAAAGTTGGTTTTTTCATTGTAGCCCATTTTTGCAATGAAAATCAACATAAGCCTTTAAGAAACTACAAGGACTGTACTGTAAACCTGATAGTGCCCATAATAATCCCAGTTTAACCTTCAAAAATTAACAGCAGGACTGCTGTTGAGTGTTGGATAGAGAGTATCATCATTAACACTGCTGAATAAATCATTAAACAGAACAGACAAGCAAAAAATTGGTACCCAAAGCTGCCTAACAACATACTCAGTACAGCAAGCAACCTGGATGTCCTGTTTGTCTTAGAAACGCTTTTTCCAGTTCTCATATCACTCACCTCAGATTTACTGGTCGGCGACATTTCTTACCAAGGTACATTTTCTGGATTTTAATTTGAAAATCCATACCAACCAGCTACAGAACTCTGCAGACAGGCTTTTCATCCCCCCAGAATATGAGGCCGGAGAGCAATGGTTATCATTAAATCTTTCAGAAGTAACTCTGCCTACACAATTCATAATCAATCTACAGTAGATATGCCAGAGCAACACAAACAGGCATTGGGCAGTAACCAGAACATTTCAGGGGTTTTGGTTGATTTTTTTTTTTAACCCATGTGTGGAAACCACAGGAAGAGAGGGAAAAAAGTAAACCACAAAACCAAACAAAAACACTCCACACAACACCCTGTATCTATGTTATCAACATTTCAACAGGAGTCTTAGAGGGTCAGCATTTTCCATGAATCAAAACCAGGAAATTTAAAGGACAGAGGTAAAATCTTAAAATCTTGTTTCAGTTAAAGTCTGTACAGGCTGATTTAATATTTTAAGCTGTTATCAGAAGACTGAATAAATACCTTCATTCCTTACCTCATCATCTTTATACCAGGACAAGCTTTCTGCAGTTAGAACGAACCAGTATTCCTTGGATCCTCCTTTCATGATGCCAATGTTGTTGATGGTCAGCCAGCCTTTCCGGATGACCTGTGCAGAGGTGCAGTCAGGCACAAGTTTAGTTCATTACTCATTTGACATAATGCTGCTGCTGCATTCATTCTTTTAAATACAGGCTTGCTAAATAAAGCAAGATCAGGTGCATTTTTTTCAGTCTCTGGCAAATTCAAAAGATTTTGCAGGGACCTATCATTCAAGAAAAAAAACACAAAACAACAAAACATTACAAAGTTAATGTAGTGCTTTTCAGCCAAAAGGTTGGAGAAAGAGAAGTCTAAATTGTACCATGTACTTACAGCAGGCATGAGTGCATTAAGGATTGTGTAAACTCGAAGATACTTATTTGCTGTATAATAACACACTGCAGAAGTCTGTACAACTTTATATATCACTACTCTAGTCTAATTGTTAAGGTCATTCATAAAGTTGGATACTAGGAAAGGAACCTAGATTCTGGCATGCACAGGAACCTTCAGAAGAGGTTGATTCAAGTGACAAAGCAGAGAGGTCTTCTCAGTGAACATGATGTTAAGAAAGGAAGTGGTAAGGAGAGGTATATGAGAGCTATTTTCCTCTCATAAGGCAGAAGAAGAAAAGAGGAAAAAACCTAATGTAGCAATAAAAATCAGGGGATAAGGCAGAACTTTAAAAAACAGATAGAAGCCAAAGATGAAGAACAGATGGGAACAGCATACCTATAAATACTAAGACCAGGAGGCTACATCATGCAAAGAGAAAGAGGGACAAAAGAAAACTTAAACGAATGAGACAACTCCAGAGGTGAAGAAGAGGGAATGGTCACAAGAACTGGTTTATGGATCATACAGAGAGAAACTTTCAATATTATTGGAACATTTATTGTTGTCCAGTACACATATGGGAAGGCAAATCTTCCTATGATACTTTGAACAAGAGAATGGAACTCTCCAATCACACCGATGCAGGGAAGCTCAGCCATTCTGTCTCCCCACAGCAACACCCTTTACTTGCCTTTCAGTATTGAGACAAAGAATTGTTCAGAGAAGTCCTTCAAAACTCCCTCACTAAGTCCCACCAGCATGGATTTGTGTGATCAAACACGAGTATCCTCTTGCTTTTAGAGAAATATACAAGATTGCGACATTCCTCTCATCGGGCTTTACAAGACAAGACTCCAATGTCAACAGATAACCAGAGAAAAACATTACTCAATATCCATTCCTTGTCATCTATAAAACTGTCAGAATCTCAATTCTCTCCCATTCAGCAAGCATGGTAATGTAAGCTCCCTGAAGAAACTCACTTTGGTATTGCAGAGAGCAAGGGACTACGTTATATTTGATAACTAAACCAAAGAAAGAGTCAGAAGTTGCATCTGAAAACCCAGTAAAAGTATTGGTAGTGTACATAATCTGAGAGCATTGATTTCATTTCAAAGAAGAAAACCACTGAAGGTCCAAAAAGTCTATGGGTTTTTAGCACGTAAGGAAATGGTTAAGAAAGTATTGCTTGGGCACCGAAGACCAAGTAAGCTATGAGAGAACTGAACAAGACTCCAATAGAGAGACTCAACGGTATGGCCTAAGCACACTGGATGGAGTAGCCTGTATCACAAAGGTTTCTGCAGAAGTTTGTAATTATTTTTCATATTAATGTTAATTGGGGGGGAATGATGTGAAGTGGGGGGGGGGGGGGAAGTGGACTGGAGGGATTACTCTTTACAAATAGACGCAGAATGCTTGTACAAGCGCAAGTTAAGAGAAACACACTGATACGAACTTGATTACCCATCAAGTCCTAATTTTCATTTTATAATGGTTACTGAGAAACAGTAAACAAGCAGCATACATATACAGCCAGCGTACTGGCCTTCAGGCAGCTGCCACAGAACAAGTTGTGGGACCAAGCTAATTGGTCTCTCTCTTTTTTTTTTCTTTCTGCAGTGAACTACACAAATGAAAATGGAAGAAACTTTTTGAAAAATCCAGGAAAATCAGGTTCCCTGACCACCTGAACTTGGCTCCACAATGAGGTAAGCTCTATTTGTACAGCAGACTAAATACTTCACAGCAAATGTGCGAAGGCAGTTATTGCCACATTATAAAAAAACTGAAATAAGAGGCTATGAGAGAGGATGCTGTTGAACCATGCTGTTTGCAATTAAAAATGCTGTGTTGCTTCCTATAAAGCACATATCCACATACAGGAAGCAGAGGCAGCCAGGCCAGCACACTACTAAAAACTAGTTTGGACACACATCTTGTATAAAGTAAAAGATTTTAAGACAGAAATCAATGTGGGCATAAAGAGGGGGTTTCTGGAAGCAAAGCAGTGAGAAACACCTGCGTAGCATGTTCAAGAACCTTACAGGTGACCAGCACTTAAAAGGGAAGGGAAGCAGCATTCTCCTTATTCCTTCCAGTGCTTTCCCTCATCATTACCACAGGCTTTGTAGCATGTTAATAGAGTAAAATTTTCTCAGTTTGACAAGAATGCATTTGTGGTAGAAGTCTCAGAACAGACCAAGCCAAGATTTTAAAATCTAAACTATATAAGCCATTTAAGAAGTAATAAAGCTTTTAATACATCTAATGAAGGAACAACATTAGTTGCATAGCTCTAAAATACTGTCTTGCTTCAGTCCAACACATCTCCCCATAGATGCAAAACCATCACTGGGTGTGGACAGAAACAAGCTGTCTTGCTAATACAAACATCGGTCACTGTCTTGTAAAGGAAGGAATTTGCCAGTTGCTTCCTCACAAATCCTGTGTGCCGAGGACTGCATCCAGCTGTTATTCCCACACAACACTGCATGAAGAGCAGGGCACCAAGCTATAGCAACATCTCAGGTACCCGTTTTTCATGTGTAAATTTCTCAGCCTGTTTATCTATACCCCCCTGGGAAAACAGGGTACTGTGTTCTCCAAAATATCCTGGACACTACAACAGACTGTAATTATACAGAATACTTGGAAGCAGTTCCAAGTGACAGCAAGAGAGAGAAGACGAGCTTAGTATGCTAAGCCTCATCATTGAATTGTTCCTCTTTCCCAGGCACGTTTTGTTAACTACAAAAAGCTGCACTTTCAAAATACTCAGTACCGGTACTGGGGTCAGGGTGGAGGGAGATGTCAGGTCAAGGTGTTAGTACAAAACAAAGTGAGAATAAGCAACACAGTTTTACTGTATACAGAGGCTGAATTACACCTTAGAATTCAGAAAATGTCTCAAAAATGTCTTAAAATTCTGGAGCGCGTTCAGAGAAGAGCCACAGGGATGGTGAGGGCTCTGGAGAACCAGCCTTATGAGGAGCAGCTGAGGGAACTGGGCTTGTTTAGCCTGGAGAAGAGAAGGCTGAGGGGAGACCTCATCACCACCTACAATTGCCTCAAGGGACGTTGTAGAGAGGTGGGTGCTGGTCTCTTCTCCCAGGTGATGGGGGATAGAACAAGGGGAAACGGCACCAAGCTGTGCCAAGGGAGGTTCAGGTTAGAGATAAGGAGGAAGTTCTTTCCTGAGAGGGTCGTCAGAAGCTGGAACAGGCTGCCCAGGGAGGTGGTGGAGTCACCATCCCTGGATGTGTTTAAAGAGCGGGTAGACGAGGTACTTAAGGATATGGTTTAGTGGGTAGACAGGAACGGTTGGACGTGATGATCTCAGAGGGCTTTTCCAACCGAGCGATTCTGTGATTCTGTGTGAAAAGAAAAACTCATTTAGAAATGTGTCCTTCCATGGGCAATAAGCAGTGAAGATTTTCAAAGAGACTTACTGAGTTAAAAAAAACTTGGGTGGAGGGTGATTTGTTTGTTTGAATTCTTGTGTTAGCTGTGTATTTCAGCTTGAAATATGAAAGTAACGTGTTCCATTACTGCTTTCACTAGTTCATTTTCTGGTTGGTTCGGATTTAAGAGATCTATTTCAGTATTTTCTATCATATTTCTAAATGTCACTCTGTGCAAACCGGACATTAGTGACATGAGTTATGACCTTCAGGAAGATGGGCATTGCCAGAAGCTAGTGAAGACAATATTCTGACCGGTAGTTTGACTCCATGTACAGGATGAACAAGAGATGACACAGTTCCTTCCTTCAGGGTCCTGATACCTAATCTCTGTGTCTGAAAAATGAAACTTAGAGGGTACAAATGCACATGAACAAGCCAGAAGGAAGTAATTTTCTGATAGTTCAGCTGAACAAAACCCAAATCATATCTGTTGTTCTTATTCTCCCGAACTTCATGGATAAACAGGAAAGCAGGATTTGACACAATACGTACAATTTATGTATTGCTGCATGACTTATTCATTCCATTAAATCAAATAAGGTATTTCTAAAATAAATACTTTAGAGATACAGAAAGCATTCCATATCTTTCAAATATTTCTCTTAAAGTTGATTTCAAGATAAGTGAGAGAGAAGTGAAATTGGTTGGGCAGGTAAAAATACAAGTGTGAAAATCATGGACTGGCTACTTCCGCAACAACGTAAGCAGCAGCATTTGCTGAGTCAACGCAACTGTCTACTAAAGCTATGTCACATAACTCCATTGAAATGCAAGCACAACTCCCAGCACTACTCCATCTTCTAATCACTGTGATAACAGCACGTGCTACCAAATGGTAAGCACATAAAGAGAATAAAAATGGCAAAAACTACCCTGTGAGGCATCTTTGCAAGCTATTGGTTCTTTGGGTTCAAATATGAAGATTCATGCACTACAGAAGCTAAAAAGGAACAACAGAGTAGAGGGGAAACCTAATGCAGTATTTCACTGTAATTTCCCAAATGTCAGGTATCAGATCTGTTCTGATACTGGATACAAATGAAATCTTGTGACACTGCTTCCCCCAAAATCACTGCACAATGTATCACATAACTTAAAAATAACGACAGTGGGTTAAGTCCTAAACGCATGCCTACTTTAGAGAAAATACAGTCTTTCCTGAAGCAAAGCACTCAGTAGAGAAAAATCGAAATATGTTTCCAAATGCAGTTAAACAAAGATTGATATGTTTTAGACAGTCATGAAGGAATGTTAACCTAGAAAATATGTATAATTAAAGGCCACTTAGAACAGCAATACTTCTCTAGTCTCGATAAGGTCAAAATTCAACTCCAGGATGTTTCACTCAAAGATATTTCAAAATTCAGCATCACATGGTTGTCCATGGGCACCACCTCTTTCACAGAAACACCAGCATTTCTTAACAGAACAGCCTTGGCATGACTTTTCATGACCACTTCACTGACCGTGGCACAAGTTTCCATTTCCATCTACTTGTTTATAAAAATTCTATAAACACATTTTTTTTCCTGAGTCATGCAAAGTGACAGGATTTAAGTATATCTGAAGAAAAGGAGCAGCAAAGTATGCTACAAAGCAGGTTTAAAAAGAAGGAAAAAAAATTATTACTAGGGAAAATGTTACTTATTAGCACAGAAGTTCAAGCCAAGTGATGGGGTCTGAATGCTACTTGTGTCCAGGACAAGTGAATCAAATCACTGGCATAACGTTATAGAAGAGGCAGGTCAAACAAAGCCTTCGAACTCAGACCTCCAAATCACTTGCACAGTGACTGGAAACTCACAGTTCAGATTAAGCCCCTTCTGCAATTTCAGGGGCTACTTCAAGTACAGCAGCAGATTTTGCTGCAGAAGTAAAAAACAAAACAGAATTTCATAGAATTTCTATATAATCCCCTATAATTTGAGTATCTTGCATTTTCACACACAGGGGTATCAACTGGTCACATGGAGCAATGACACCTTCATCTACAAAGGTTTATCATGAAGGGGAGCTTTAAACACTAACTTTTAGTCACCAAACCAAATCTCAGCACACAGAATACACAGTTAAGAGTGAGTCAGCTTTCAGGAACCAGATCTTGCTAGTGTGCTGTGTAAAACCAAGCATTACACTGATTATTTCAAGCAAATTAGAAGACAGACTAACCTGTGGCTTAAAAAGAAACTTTGTGGAGTCAGGTCAAAACCTCAGGCGGTAGCAAAGAAAAGACAAACAAAAAAGGCCAAAGATTAAGCGTGAGAGGATAAATTAGTAGTAGAGGGAAAAGGGAGCAAAAACATGTTAAAAGGAATTTGCATTACACTTCTTCCAAAAACGCAGCATTGTTGTGCTCATCCGATTTCTGAGATACACAGAGAAAGTTAATAGTTATCTGCATCATTCCAGTTCAAAGCAAGCTACGAAAAAGAAAAGCAATGGACTGCAAATGAGCATCTCACTATTTTGGGAAAACTTAATTCTCTTGATCTCCTAAGAGATTCCATTCAACTGCTGCTAGAGTCAGTGCTGCCTGACTGGGAAACAGGAATAGTCCCGTTTCCTTTACTGAACATAAGTTTAGTTCCATTTTGTTTGAAATGATAATTAATAAAACTTGATGATGTGGCAACAAACTGGAAAAACACGTATGTTTTCACCATAGATACCACCACAGAACGTACAAGATACGAGATTTACTTCTTACACCAAACCATCACTGAACCAGGAGTAACTTGTTATAAAATTACTGCTGTTTAGACAATGAATTCTAATTAGTAAGATTAAGGGCATTCACATATGTATTTACTCATGAGGTGGAAGGGTTAGGAAAAATGTCTATCCATGACACATTGATCCTCCTGGTGCCATAGAAAGAATGCTAAAAAAGCTTTAAATATTTCTAAGTTTATTAATAAAATTCACTTTTTCTATCAGAAGTAATTCCTTTACATAAACAAAATACCACGAACAGTACCTGTACCCATAAAACACCATGTACATTTATGCAAAAGCTAATGTTTACTTTGGGTTACCAGAAACTTAATTTGCTCACCTTTCAAAAAGAAGTTTACTATGAACAGAGGCACTTACATCAGATAAAAACTGCTTTCCAGTTACGTAATAAAATAAACAGTAGTTAGTAATTTTAGTTTGAGAAACTCAGTAAATTATAACAAGATTAATTTTATTCAAAGTTTTCTACATTTTAAGTTATACTATTTCATACTTGTAACAGCAGGTTAGTAGCACTTAAGTGATGAACTGCAGTTATACTTTGTTGAGGAAGTGTTACAGACAAGATAGCTTAACATTAAATAGTTTAGTAGCAAGTATTAAACAAATCAATGAGTTAGAGACAAACTTCGCCCTCTGAGAAGCTAAATGAAAAAGCAACAATAAAGCTTAAAGAACTTAGCTCGTACAATTTGCCTTGAAGGCGGTAGATTGGTTCCCTGAAATGGCAAATTGCAAAAATGAAGTTTTATTTCAGAAACATTTTCTCATTCTTTTCAACTTCAAACAGTGAACTCACAAACATCTGTTTATTATCTTTAAAATAAAAGGTTCAGCAAAGTCTTTTATACCAAAAGAAATCAAGTTCTAACATTTAATTCAAAACGCCAAGCTTCTCTGTGTTTTCAGAGAGAGAACATTCACTCAATTAACAAATCATTCATTTCATTTGTGTATTTTTGAAGAGCCAGATAATCGGTCCATTTTCCTTTTATGGGACACTCCAAAGCGATGATGGTTGTTGTGTTTGACACATGTTCTGGTGGCGCTAGATAAGAAGGAGATCTCTCCCCAGAGGAGAGAGACTGGCCTTTGAAGCCTTAGAGGTGTATAGGCCTTTCAACATTTTTCATTTCAGTCCAAGCCGTGTATAACATTAAAAATACCACTCCTGCTGGTCAGGCTCTGGGCGACCAACACATCCAAGAAGTTAATGGATTCTTTTAACTAACAGCTCAAAAATAACTAGCAATTTTTTGGTGGGAGGAAGAGGTTGGATTTCTGTTCCCCAAAAGACGACTAAGATTTCAAAAAATGCTAGAGCTCATCTACAACAGCAGAATAGGAAACCTTCTGAAGTGTCACGTTTATCACCTGAGGGATCTCAACTCAGTGGTCACAGTTGAAAACCTTGACCTTTCACCTCCTGAGCACCGTTTGACCAAATTGCATATGAAAACATCAGGAAGACATTCAATACTGGTAATTATTACACCAAATTCATTGTCTTATTTTTACAAGAATTTTTATTGTCTTTTAAAGTATGTACTAATTTCGTAACATTTTCTTTCTGTTTACGACTGTGCAAAAAACTCAAAGTGAGCAGAAACCCTCGCAGCTGTAGCATTTATTTCTATCTCATATAAAAAAAGAGGACAGATCCTGTGAAGTACTGAGCACCCCTGGCCCACACAGAAACAAAGAAAGAAGCAAAGCTCAGGAGTGCTTAGCATCTTGCAGAATCAATCCCTTATTCGTACGTGACAAAAATAAACAGACAAGTAATTTCATCAATGAATTTCAGTGAAAATGCTCATTAATCCGAGACCATCAAGCTGGCCTGTGGTACATAGTCAACATCTTTGTGAAGTCAACTCAAAGTTTTCAGAAGAGGTAAAGGCAAAATCCACTTCTGCTTGCTGAATTGTCCCTTCACTGCTATTAAGCTGTGAACATGTAAGAACTGGTAAAACGACTACGACAAAGCGCACACAAGCAAGTACTCACCAGCATTTTGGATTCTGAAATTCACAGGTTTACAGTTGATGACAAAATATACTGATATGTAACAGGAAGGATTCAATGCACTGAATGGCATGGGAGGGGAGACACTGACCAGCAGTGCAAGCAGTGGGAGAATTATTAAACAGTAAGTGATGACAGCAATGAAAGTCAGGTGGCTGAAAAATTCGGTAAAACAAGGTGATGATGACGCATTTTATGTATGTTTGAAGCAGAAAAGGTATATGACAGACAACAAATAAATGCAGCAAAGAAAACCAAACAGCTTGGATGAACTTGCACATGCCATTATCCATTCTGTTAGGTGCCTACCTGATTTCCCACTGCACTTTTGTTAACCTGACTGCTTCTTTGCTGGGCACTAAGGAAAGCAGAGGAAAAGAGTTATACTGAAGAAACTCAAACTATGCCAGTTTCTGAGGAATAGATTTTAGCAGCAATAGTTACTTCTGATTCCAGCACAGAAAGCTAGTGTGACAAAGATACACAGCAAAATCCTTGCATATATGTGTATATTTCAACTATTTATTCTTACGCTATAGGAATGCCTGCTTAGCACAGAAGGGACATGGACAGCAGACAGCTCCTACTAATCATCTATCTCCTTTGTAACAGTATCCTACTTGGACTAGCAAAAGTTACTAAAAGCTTAAAGAAATTAGGGCTCACGTGGGTAACTGTGGAAACATTAGCCTCTACGAATATTCAAGAGAGTCAAAAAGCAAGCCATTTCTGTTATTTAGCACAGTACAACAAAATCCTCCCCTGCTAGAGGCTCCTAAATAGCTTTGTCTTGACAGTTTGTTTTGGATATTGTTCTTATATTTATATGCATTTTGAGGGTGATAATCCAACCAATGGATGAAGCCGACACAAAGCTGTTTCCAAAAGCTGAAATCTTCTAAGAATAGAGCATATTTGAAATTAGACCACGTTTAGCATATTTTGCTCAATTCTTGAACCTGGGTAAACAGAGTTCCTGAAACAAAACACACTCCTGTCTCAAAAACATAAAAGTTGCCATTAATTCTAAAAGCATTTGTATGATGTAGTGGTTTGTTAAGTGTCAGACCACAAAATTAAAATATTGCTGAAAAGAAAAAAAAGTGTTCAACCAGCAGGCTTTGGCTACTTGACCACCAGAGCACTGCTCTGAAAGAGTAAGAACAAAAGATGTGCTTGGATCACAGCCTGTGAGCCGATGCTGCAACTGTTTTGTGTGCAGCTGCTGTTCCACGGAATTGCTGAGGCACCAAACTCAGCCCCATCCCAACTCTGATCCTGCCCTTTGGACCATTTCCTATCAAGCCAATGGTCCACATGCTGTCCATGATGTTTATTCCATGTGCCCAGCCACTGGGCTTAGCTCTCAATCATCCAGATCCTTCTGACCAGATAACGCTGCATGTCTCTGGTGTATGGTCTGAGCTGCATAAGCTTTGGTGCATAGATTATGATTAAATAACGTGCACAAAGAAAACACAGCACTAATCCTTCACCAATTCCAAATTGTTGTTTGAGCAACATGCATGAGATGGCATTAGGAAACATAACTGTCATTCTTTCGTTTGCTTTTGGTTTGGGTTTTTGTTGTTGTTGGTTTGGGTTTGGGATTTTATTTTATTGCTTTAGGAAAGCTAATTAGACCATAACATCACAGTAAGAAACTCACACCCTTTAAAAATAGCCCAGCAATCAGTCCTCTTTTTACTGTCCTAAATACAAATTACCCTTCAAGTAGACTGAAGCATGTAGCTATGTCTGAGTTACACCAGCTGGAAACAAACATAATCCCGTCATTTTATCACTCGTTCTGCTAAACGAGACAAACATTAATATTCTGAGATTTCACAATTTCACAACTATGCAAAATTGTCCTAAATATTGGCATTCCCAAATCCCTCTCAAGTCGATTCAAGTCGCACTGTCCCTGCCATAGGCCTGCGATGCTGCAAAGCAGTTTGAAGTCTCTTGTGCTCTCATTCTTATGAACAAGGTTCACAGGACTTACACTTATAAAACACTCCAGTCACATGAGATAAACGGCTAGAAGAATCAGCAAAAGAAAAGAAATACTAGGGAGTCTGGGAAATCTATAGCCCAGGATGTTCAGATACTGCAGAAGCCCATATGCTGACACAAAATTATTTCATTTTCCAGTTCTAACATAATTGCTATAACAATAATATTATAAATTAATATGTTTGGTTTTCACTGTTTAGCTCAAATTAATGTATTTTACATTTTAAACGGTTCTTAGTTATCCACATTGTCTCTTCCAGCTGAGCACAAGCCAACAAAGATACTTCCCTTCAGTTTTAACCTACAGAAACACTTGCTTAAACTTACCAGTGAATTTAAGCAGAGAGCCACTATGGGGTATAACCCCATAGCACAGTGGCTGGGGATTTCTAGATCTCAACTGGCAAAAAATGAAGCAGCTTTTCCAAAAAAATGAACTTGGGCAGTGCAGCTCCTTGGAAAAGACACAGCAGTGAGGACCATGTGCTGAGCTATAGGCTGCCGCAGCAGCAGCATCCACGAAGAGGATTTTTCCAGGGGAGAGACCTAATGAAATCGCTCAGATATACCTGGCACTCCAAAATCCAAGACCATAAAACATGGAAGCTTCTCACTTGACACAGGGAAAAAAAAATCTTTTCACAGTAAGGAAAAGCAAGCATTGAAACAGGCTGCACAGAGAGGCTGGAGAAACTCCAGTTTTGGAAGTTTTCCAGACCTGATTGGACAAAGCCCTGAGTAACCTGGTCTGAACTCAACATTGACCCTCCTCTGAGCCAGAGGTTGGACTATGTGACTTCTCAAGGTCACAACACACACCATGAATACATATATATATATTTTATATATATATATATGGAGTGTTTTTAACAGGCTTTTTCCCGTCAGAAAAGGATGAAGAGAGGTAAATAGCAGGCAGGTTGTTATCTTGACCTCTAGAAGGCCAGCTACCATTCCTACAACATCCTGTCATCTGTCAAAAAAACTGATAAAGATATCTAAGACCTGCAAACAATTATAGAGAAAGTTGTTGAAACCAAACACAAACAGTGGCTGACTTTGCCCTCTCCCCTCTCAGCTCACTGAACACCATGTTTTAAACCTTCAAGGCACACTGCCAAAGCTGTAGACCTTCCTTCACAGTGGTAACCAAAATAGGCCATAATATGTACTGTGGTGCCAAACTTTGTTGCCGGCATCCCATATGGATGTAACCTGTTGTGATTCCAAACACTTATGGCATGAATATGACTGAAGGAACATTAACTCTTCAAGGAGTTAAGACATCTTTAATGTTTTTACTTGTGTTAACATGTTGGTATGAAGCCCCTGAGGCACAAATTGCTGGAAGCTGAGGGCGAACACTCTGGAGAACATTCTCACAGCCTTCTCAATTAAGCGAGGAGAACAACAAACCAGGCCCTACAGCACATTCTGCTACTATTATTCTCTACAGCCAAGCAGCAGGCACACTTACAACTCAGTGACATCCATTACTCTGAGCAAAATGGTTTCACGTGGAATCACAGCTCCCACAACAGGCATTAGCGACAATGTGGAAGTATCACTAATATTATACATTTCTGTGGTCTTAAAACAGACACAGTGAGGGCACTGACTTGTTAGAGCTGCCTCCTGAGATGCATGTGATTCCAGACCAAGGCATAAGCTTCAGCTTCAGTGAAACCAGGCTTGTGAACTGGGGTAAAGAATCCCCTACAAGTGGGACAGAATTCAATGCTGTGTGCATTGAGGAAGAGCATGCTCCTGCACGTTTGGGATTTTGCGGCTTGCATCTTCACTGTCACGCTTCAGGGCTTGTGCTTTGAACTTATAAAAAAAAAGAAAAAGCAAACCTGACAGTGTCTTTATAACTAAGTCTCTATATACATACTTTGCAAAGCCAATGAAGTCTTCATGGTTGGTGTTGATGTAAGAAACCTGGATATCAATCAGCAGCAGCACCTGTTGGGGAGACAGGAGAGGAGAAAAGGGGTGGGTAAGGTAAAAGAGAGAGTTTGAAGAAAACAAAGGGAAAAAAGAATAGAACTTTTGAGGTTTTTGCATCACTGAATATTTTTTTCATAATAATTCAAGCCAAAAGCAACAGTATTTTCTAAATCCCACCACGTCTGTTTGTGTGTTTGTTTAACAAGCTGGACTACGGAAGAGCTATTCCCGCTTCCTAGTTTTTTCCTGACAGACCCCATTTTTTACTGTATTGGCCTTTGTCCACTTCATTAAGATCAACCATGCACGGCCAGAGAGTTTAATTTTACATAACAGACTCTAGCTCTGTGTTTTGCAAGTTCAGCTAAATTCTATTTGTAGCATTCCAGCCAAGCCAGCAAGGAATCAAAACCTTAAACCTAAAATTAGGGTACTGATATTTTCTTTAGGTACTACATAAAGAAATGATAGGTAATTTAACCCTGTCCCAGAAAATGTACAGTCCAGGTACTAGACAGCCATTCTGGTGCATGCATCTGGCTTGAGAGGTAGGCCAGTCAGTGGAACAACAGAACGAATTGTTTCTGTTCTTATCACTTGCCAGACCTTCAATAGCACAGAGACAGAATTTGATACCAACTTGATAATCTAACTCGGCAAAGATTTTAGAGAAAGCTCTCCAGCCACCCTTGAACAGCTTCTCAAACATGCATGAGACCACATTTTCACCTCATCTTTTCAGACTTCCATTTATCAGCAGAGAGCAAGGAAGGAACCAAATGGTAGCATTTAGTCTCCTCAAAGTGTACAGAGTTATTTCTGTACAGCTCCTCAAACACAGCATCACTCCCAAATTCTTCACTATTTCCAGAAGACATCAGCTGCCTCACTCAGAGCAAGACAGTGGGGGTTCAGATCTAGCTCTTACCTCTGAAAATACCCCCACTACTTGTTTGCTTTATTAACGATGACGACTAACACCATAAATAATGATGTGAATATGTGACAATAACTTATCCAACCAATTCGTAGCATTTACAACAAGCTGGTATTTTGTACTTTATTCTGGGAAATTGCCAGGTATGTGCACACAATGAATAAGAAAAAAAAGACTCGATTATTCTAAGTAACTTGTACCTTCTTCCAAATTATGAAATAACTGCATGTGCTAACTAGAACTCTCTGCAAGTACAAGCTTAGCAAAAATAATTTTTGAAAAGTTATTTTTAAGACTACATTCACAGCACAAATTAAAACAAAAAAAAGCAGGCAATGCTGCACAGCTCCCTAGCTGACACAGGGACAGAAGTCCAGAACAACTTAGGAGCTCTGCCTAGGTCTTCTTCCCAAATATTTCTGTTGTCACGCTGCACTCTCCAGACAATAATCCCTGTTTCAACTTCCAGTGGATTTTCTCACATGTAATCTAAGATTTGAAGCTTCCTGAATTTGGAGTTCTTAGCTCGGTGATGAATGTTCTAAAGAAGTTTTTCTGAATTTTTCTTTTTTTAAATTCCAGGAAAAGCTTGTCACTCCTGCAAGAGACCCAATACAATTGCCTGTGGGCCTCACTGTAATTACAACATGGGGTGGGTATGTTAAAAAAAGAAACACACACAAAAAAACAACAAAAACCTGTAATCAAAGTAGAAAAAGGACTGAGTACTTCTGCATGCTTTTGTTTAATCATCAATCGATTTCCCACTGACAACTGTTGTGGCACAGCTAAGAAGGTGGCACACTGTGGTGCAGGAACAAGCTAATGCTACTTTAAGACACCAATCCTAATCTGAAAGACTATTCTAGTCTTCTGTCAAAGCTCAAAAGGAGAGGACCAATTTTTCTCACCCTCTAAAACGTGCAGCCTGCTGGGGGGAGGAAGAAGAAGAAAAGAAACAAGAAAACTCTTTCATTGTCTTACTATATTTTGTAAGCAAGAACCTTCCTCCTCACACTTTCCCAAACTGTTAGATCTCCTATTTATTCTCACCTGATCCTTGGTCTTCTCTTCTCTTTCACGAATATAGCCAGCAACAATTCTTTCTGTTTCCTCACACAACCTTGGATATGTCGCCAACTGAAAAGCAAAATTAATACAAATTAGCACCTGCAGGGTGGCTTCAGTAAAACACAAACAGAGGAGCCTCCAGCTTTCCCCTGTGGAAGAAAGCAATTATTATAAATGCTTGGAATAAAAGTTAACTACATCACAAAGCAAGCCTTACGAGCTATTAATGGTCATTTTCCAGAGAAACACGAGACCTAAACCTTTGGGTTGTTTCTGTGCTTTTGCTCCATGGAACACTGAGGAAAAGACACTTTGGACATGTGAATCACAGTTTATCATCCTCGGGGTGAGGTTTCTCCATGCCTCTCCTTTCTACTGTGCCTAATTCCAGAGCGGTGCTTTAATTTCTCTGTTTCTTGTTCTTTGAAGGCTCCACCTTGTGGCAACATCCCTCATCTCAGTAACAGTACTTGTAAACAGCAAAACACAACAGTAAATTTGGCACTGGGAAAAAAATACGCACAATTCAAGTGACACACGATCCAAACTTTGACAAAAATTAAAAAACCCGGAAACTCTGCTTCCAATACTGCAGTGAATCTGCTTCTCTATGATCTTTATCATAAAGATTGGCACCCTTTACTGATTTAAGAAATAGTTCCTTTACCTGTTCATTGGTACAAAAACACTGCAATATTCTGAAAAATGCAAAGGATGTGAGAGGATATTCCTCTACAACTTGTGAGCATACCTGTGCTCACATCCCAGAACCGCTTCTATTAGGCTACCCTGCACTCTGAGACAGTGGGAAAGAGATGAACAGAAGGTGAAACAACAGAAGTAGACAGCTAAAGAGTCTACAAGAGTCAATGGGATGTTCAAGAATCTCAAAGTAATGGGAGAAAAGAGAATTGAAAATCAGCATCTGTTAGTTGTCAATGCTTCAGACAAGCGAGTCACAGTATTCACAGATGACAACTTTCCTATGAAGAGTGTGAGCAAAAAACAATATTCATATTCATAATGCTTCATATTAATATATCTGAAATGCTTCCTTAGCAACAGCTGGTGGTGGTAAGAGTACGGTTTTGTTCTAAGACTATACACCAACCCAAGCACACTGCAGGAAAACCATTCATAGTAATGCTATGTTTAGCTTTCATTAACTTATCTCTTAATTTATTACACTTGCAGGATCTTGAGTAAACAGTTTAATTGATGCACACAGCGATCACATCACGAAGTTCAATGCTTAGCCGTGCTTTCCACTTAAACGTTCAACATTTCTGCGCAGCAAGCTGATTTGCCGATGCAAATACAAGGATGTACAATACAATGCAGATGAAGTTTTCCTAGCTTTCCACTTCTAACCTGACAGCCAGAGATCAGACATTTTGGGGTTGTGTATGAAAAAACACAGGAGAAGTTGTGTGCTCATTACATCGCAAAGAAGTGTGGTGCTACCCAGTAAAGCTGCAATACAGAAATAGCATTTTTCTCTCCATTATAGATGTCCCTGAACACATTTGAGGCTTTTGCTCTAGAAAAGATTCACTATTTCTTCCTCATTAGCACTAGAAAAGAAAACTTTAAAGGATAAATTCTCTTTTGCTGATTTACACATCTATGGAATTGCTACCTATGTTCCATTTTCAGTACCAAAGAAAATATGTTTTTAAAGAGGAAACTGGGCGCAACCCTTGACTCAAAAAATGACAAGGTGGAGTTGAATCATATATTTAAAGTACAGGAATCCGAAAATGAACATTTCCAGCATTACATTGTTGTGAGAGTGTTCCAGAAGTTGTAATTACTTTAGAGAGTCTTACTCTGTACATCAAGTGACTACATCAGAAACATCCTATAATACCGCAAAATGCAAGACAGGCTTTAAATTATCTACTATACCATTACATTATAGTTACATTACCAGATGTATTTGCAAGTTACCTTTTTAGTGCACTTCTTGACAGTGTTGATTAGCTCTTGCATCACCAGATCCACACTTTTTAAGCAAGGTCCTTTCAGCTTGACTATCTGTTTTTTAACAATGGCTTCAAACGCCATATCTGGAGTAAACAAACCTGTTCTGTGGACATAACAGAATATGTAAGACACTCATAAAAACTTCATGCCAAGATTTTTTTACTGAATTGCCCATATCTTCATTTTCAGAGGCTTACAGCTGAGTAATAACAATCCCTCCACAAACAGACTTCCACAAGACTAAATTTGCTCCTTTCTCTAAAAACCAATGAAATGGTAAGAATAGAAAAGTAGAAATACGCCCTACTACTTGAAGATAACTGCATGAACTCTAAAGAGTACTGATATAATGCAGTAAAGCCTCTTCAGCAGTGCATCAAACCTTGAAGAAGGGATGAATGTCAGCTGCAGCACTCGATGCACAATCACTCGCATAGCAAACCCACAAGAATCCTATAGCTGCACTTGTCACTCACAACAGGAAACTTAGTTGTGTTACTCAGAGTCCTGTATGGAAAACTTCACAGTTGGTCACTACAGGGTGTAAGAAGCTATATAACAGATATCTCACAGAACCAGTTCTAAATAGACCTTCCCTCTCTTTCAAACACTGCTTGCAAAGGTCTATCTTGGCAGACAAATCATACAAAAAAAGCAAACTATAAAAACACCTCCAAAACTATCAGTTCAATACCATAAATTGCTCATCAAGACCTTTCCATCAATAAGGCCACTAAAGTTCAAATACTGCAGCACAGACACCAGAGTAGAGTCAATCATCTGTGAATTTACTATACATGTAGCGGTAAGAACATTTTCCAAACCACCAAGAACAACAAAGCTTGTAAGCAATGCTTTAGAAACATATCAAGTACTCACAAGTGGCTGGGGGAGGTGGGAGGGGAAAAACCCCACTACATAAAAGAACCACCTGAGCTTTCTGGAATCTCTTCTATTGTTAAAAGAACAAAAAATGGGTACGCATCTGACAAAGTGTCCCTCCAAAACAGACTGATAATTCCGAAGGGAAATAATTAGGTCATTCCAAACCAAAAAACCAAATACCTCCTCTTCCTCAACCTGATAGCATACTGCTGGCATTTCCACAAAGCAAAACCTCAACTAAGTCACTTGTAAATCAGTCATTTCAAGAAATGGTTGAGAAAAAATGGGACTTTGATAGCACAAGGAGTCTGCAACACAAGCTGAAAGGTTTTCTCTGTATCATGGCAAAAGCTTTCCCTCTAAAACATAAGACTTCTCAGAAATACAGGCTTTAGAGAACTACAGACACAGAAGAAGTGTCATTGATTTTCTCTGTATAATAATTTTCCAACATTTCCAGGTAAAATGAACCTCTTTGGGTAAATCAACCATTTGGCCCAAAATAGCTACCTAAAAAACAGCAGTGCAGAGGAGTGGAAGAAAAGAAGTCAGCTGCTGGGAGCAGTGCATTAGTAACGTAGTCTTGCATCAAGAGCCAGTGTGTTCACAGGTTAAAGACACCAGACCCTCTATAAAGTGACTGGGTTTGAAAACGAGGGAGCACTTGCCTGATACCATGTATGTTCTTGATGGCATAACTTATTTCTCTTCGGAGTTCCTTCTCGTTGAATTCCATCTAGAGGAATAAAAGCATATGAGATCATATTAGGCAAAGTTTTTAATAAAACAGAAAATATTACTGCTCCCAACAGAACTGGAAGACAGGCAAGTCCAATGGCAAAATATTAATGTCTAATTATGCTAAACAAAGCTTAAGTATTTTAAAACATTTTAACACTAAGGCTACTGGCAGCACTAAGGACTGTTGACAATTCCGCACCCTTCCACTCCAGATGTACCAACAGCTGGAACAATTTTGCAGAGTTGATAGAGTAAGCCAGAATCTGGATTTGGACAATGCAACTTTTTTTTTTAAGCCTGGTTTCCTAAAGTGGTGCAACTTCTGTGATTATGGTCTATTTATCTTCCACTTCTCATTCTACTGTTTTCCAACCAAATTTAAGAGAGGAATGATCTCAGTTATGCAGTTATAAAGCTTTTCTTAAAATTCCTTGAAATAGCTGAAAGATAAGTTAGTGTTGTCACAAACGAAAGGGTCCTTACCTAAACGCCCAACTGTGACCTGTTCTGTTGGAGTGCTAGTTGACCTACCACATTTAAACCTTGGAACCAGCCACAACCTTGTCTAGTTCTGACTGAAAGTCAGAGGCTATCAAGGCAGTTGAACATAAAACACATTGAAAGAAAGGTTAGGAAAAGTGTATAAAGAACGGGGACTAGAGATACAGTAGAGTTTATAGTGAGAGAAAGCTAAAGACACTGCAGCAAAAGAAAAAAAATAATCAAAGAATATGCAACACTAATTCAGAGGAAGTCATCTTTCATTAATTCACACCCCACTGAACCTCCAATTATTCTGTTTCCCAAAGGATGGGTAAGCAAGAAGAGATGTATCCTGGGGAGAAATGTTATCTCAAAACACCACGTTTGCTTCTGTTCCACCTCGCACTATGAAAGTGTCAGACTGAAAGCTGGCTTTGGTTTAAGCACTGAATACAGAAAGTAGAAAACATAGAAATGGCTATTTTTCATAACACTGATTTTAAAAGGTATTACTACTTGAACACAACAAGTTAAATTTACCAGCAGTAGCTGTTTCCCTGGCACATCTAACCAGAAGAAAGATGACATTCGTGATAAAACAATTAAAAAACCATTGAAAATAGTAACAAACTGGGACTATAATTATATTATAATTACTGCATTTCACAGTTCTTAGCACGTCTCAGTATACAAACTAGAAATGAAGCCAAATGTCTCAATTACCACTTCATGGAATTTCTTTCACAGTTATGAGCATGTTCTTCCAAGCAAAATTTATCTTGGCTTTACTACTATCAATATGAATGTAAGAATACATAAATAAAACAAAAAGCACACCAACAAGATGGATAAATACCTTCACTAGTTCAAAAGGAAAACGTTCATGGAAAATACGATTGATCTTGGCACCTCCTGAAAGTTCTAGTGTATCAACCTGATCTCCTGATCCTTCGATTCTTTTCTCAAAGTCCACTGAAAACTGTTGTACCATCCTAAATTTCAAAGGGGGGAAGTAAAAAACAAAAAAACAAAAACATAAAACACCACACAACCAGTTAAGCATGGCAACTACCAACTCTTACTTCAGTACTACACACACTACCACTGCCTATTAACACGTTTAGGAATTGACAAAAGTATCTGTAACAACAATTCATTCAGCCAAGCTGCCAATCCATAAAATCCATCCCTTCACACACACTCTCTCACACTGACATAGCTCAGTATATTATTTTTTCTTCATAAAAACGTATTTTTAAAAAAGTTTAAAAACCACTAATGTTTATTAATCTGTATATTAAAGTCAACTACAAATACAGCAGGGTATTAGGCTACACACGTGTTTAATCAATGATCGCAAAACTGTAAATGCTAGCATTCTTTATTACATAAATTTTTATTATTTTTTGTTTTAGGAGAAAGAGTGATAGCAGTCTTTTTAGTACGATAAGCAAATAAAAGTCCTGATGTTTAAATTGCAATACTCACCGTATTTCAATAGAAAAGCGTACGTGTACTTAGATGCTGCTACAGAAACTGCAGAGCTCAATGAGGCAGACCAGCACAAGCAAAAATCTCCAATCTCATGGCAAAGGTACCATTTGTGGAGAGTTTACTGTTCCACAATGATCCTTTGATCTTTCTATTATCTTTCAAAAAGATTCTGTCCAAGAGCACGAAGTGAATCAAGCCACTAAGCTGATCCAGTGTTGGAAAATTTGGAAGAGATTGCTAAGGAACTTACTTTCCCATGCCAAAAAGCTAGCCTAAGAAGCAGTACTAACACATCAATGTGGCAGCTGTCAGTACCACAGGCTCCAGCTTACCTAGCTGTGCTTACAGTTCTGCAGCAGGAGCATTTAGAACACACATGAAAATTCCTCCAGTGGGACTGAATGATCTTCAGAGGTCCCTTCCAACCCCTACCATTCTGTGATTCATGGATAGCTCAATTTCATTTTACTTTAAGTAAGTACAGGCATTTGGTCGTAAAATTTGAAATGACAGATTCTGCCAAAACGTAACATTGCCTAAAAACTGTACATAAACCTCAGATACCTATATGGCCAGGTTAGCAGCATTATGGAAAGAGTCTAAGTGCATGGCCCTAGACTCCATTTCTGAAGAGGACTGAAGAAACTTAGACAATTTTACGGGGTGAGATGAGGCAGATATTTTTTATGCATTACAGATCTTGCTCTCAAGAATCAGAGGAAAGGGTTCTGGTTATGTTACTTTTCACACCCCAAAAGTAAAAGGGAAAGTAGGATAATTTTTATTGACAAAAGAAGTTATTTTCTCCTATAGCACCTGCTTATAATGAAGAAATTAGGGAAAAAAAACCCAAACAACTATGCAGGGAAGTATCAAGTAGGATGACTTAGGCTGAAATGGAATTAAATTCTTTTTCCTTTAGAACACAGTACAATAGTAGAACAAGCATGAGAAACCAGCAACACCTAACATTTCACAACACTTTATATAAATGTTTCTAGCAGTTAAGTCACCAAATAAAATAAAACCCCAGCTGTGTTGTACTGTCATGGAAGAGTCAAAGGTGATGTCACTCTGGTTTTGCAACCAAAAGATCTGAAGTTATGAGGGACAGACTTATGTCTGTGCTTTCAGACACAGTTGTTACAAAAACAAGGAGTAAATCAGAGTCTTCAGCTAGCTCAAGAAAGCCTCTCTAGCTCAGGTGACCATTTTCCTTTTTGAATTCCAGACTTCTAATTAGAGGATGAATCCTGCCCAAAACTCATGCATTTTCACCATCCAGTGCTATTACCATATAACCTAGAGAACCAAGGAGGCTGAAAAACTTTTCAATCAGTCAGAGTAGGAATGTGACAACAGTCATATAAGAGAGAAGAGCTAGGTACATTTTACATCTTTCCTCTTCTTCCTTTAGATACTTCCTCTGCTAACAGGTAAACTTTAATCACCTATGAACATAGAAGTGGTTGCAGGTGAAAAGGTAGGCAATACTGAGTATCAGGCATCCCTGGAAACAGACTCAGGAAGGAAGTTGCATGAAGCAAAGCAGCAGGTGCTAACTGGGCTTCAATCCATAATGTCAGCATTGCCCTTTTTCCATAGTGCACAGTAAAGGCGTCTAATTCCACTTCAACTTGAGTCAAAGTCAGATGAACAGTCGTCTCTGTTCCATCATTTCATGATAGCGATATCAAAGTCCTGTCAGTCAGACATACTTTGTGAAGGAGACCCAAACTGCACACTGACTTCAGCACTGAAAAAGCTTTCTAGTTCAGAACTTACGATAATATCATAACGCAGCTCCGGAAATCATTGCGCTTCCTCTGACAAACAACAGTATTCAACCCATGACTTCTTGAGCCCAAAAAGGTCAAAATCTGCCAGGTCAGTTTTAACAGAAGCACAGGTGGCACATCACATCACCTATTTTGCTGCTGGTTGTCAGATGTGTGCTCAGAGAGGCAAACCACATGAGGTCTTCACCCACCCCAATACACATCACTTGGATGTAAGAACAGCTGCACTACAGCAGAACAAAAGCCGTATCATGACAGTCACCAACAATAAGTGAGAACAAAGCAAGCACACAGTAATATTTCTCCAGAATACTCTCTTGGCCCCAAATTGCTGTTCATGGATTCCGCACAGCAGG